AAGCTTAGATTATTTCAAAACCCGGACTTTTTGTAGAAAAAGTGAGGTCATTGGCACACAAATCTGGTTTTGGTTGAGGTTCATCGAACAATTCCAATTAATTACTTCCAATTAACATATTTGTAGATAACATATTCATGAGGTAGCGGCTCTATGAACAGAGTAAAGTAAAAGCAGACAAGGACGAGCCTTGCCGAACACAATAAAAATAGTTTAGGTTAGCATTGGCTGTACTTGATAGCTAGTTATTGATAAAAATGATCACTTTCAAAATGAACAATTATTTGAGACTTAGGTCGAAAAAAAGAGAACTCATACTATCACACAAGCTGTGCTTGAATAAACACAAAACAATGTCCAAAAGGGATTGAAAGAATAGTCATTTCTACGCTCTATCACGATAAGTACAAGTCATGGATCCAGCGGCAACCGCCTACTCGTGGTGGATTCGTCTCCAACTGGAGCAAATGGTGCCAACCCTGCCGCAACAGCGACAGACTTCCCAGAAAGGGACCCTATTCGTCACTCAACCCGGGTTTTTGGTAGTGGAGAAGACAACGCCAGCCTCTTTTCTCCTGCTCCAACTACTGATGGCTGGTATTGAACCCAACCCCGGTCCGGCACAGAAAGTCAACTGCAAAGTCTGCTCCCGAAAGATGAAAACACAGACAATCAGATGCCACCAATGCAAAGAATGGATGCACCTGAAATGCAGCGGCATGCGCAAGACAGCCGAGTACCTCTCTCAGCCAGACTGGAGATGCCCCCCCTGCACTGCAGAGACCCCCCGACAAACCCAGAAAGTGAAGTTCAAGCTACTACAACTGAACTGCAATGGCATACAGAATAAAGCAAAAGAGCTCAGCAACTACCTACAAGAAAGGAAGATCACAGTTGCCGCCCTTCAAGAGACCAAACTACAAGAACGGAACAAGACGCCGAAGTTCCCTGGCTATACTGCCATCCGACGGGATCGTGGTCAAGGAGGTGGCGGACTCATGACCCTCATTCACGAAACTGTCGACTTCAACACCATGGACATAGATCAGCAGAACGACGGCACGAGAGAAGTCCAGGGAGTCAACATCAAGATGAACGAAGTTGAATTGAACATCATCAACTACTACATCCCTCCCTCCAGCAGCTGTCCTCAAGGTTACAAGGCGTCCCTGCAAGACCTCCTCTCCAGCAGCAAGACAATCCTGGTAGGAGACGCGAACGCACACAGTTCCTTGTGGCATTCCAGCAACCAAGAAGACACCCGTGGCTCCGAACTGGCAGAAGAAATTGACTCCTCCTTCGGCGTCCTCAACACCGACCACCCAACTCGCCTCCCACGAGGAGATCAGCCATCCTCGCCGGACATCAGCATGGCCTCCTCCGACCTGCTTCTCGACCTCTCCTGGAAAACAGAGATCACCCTGGGCTCAGATCACCTTCCCATGAAGATCGAACTGAAGAGGGACACAGAAGTCAGAGCACCCAAGCGCACCTTCGTGAACCTCAGCAGAGCCGACTGGGATACCTTCAAACAGGAAACAGAAGAACTCTTTCTGAGCGAAGAAGAACCATCTGACACCCACAGCGGAGAGAAAGTCTTCAGGAAGATTCTGAACACTGCTTCTGCTCACAACATTCCCTCCGGACGCATTCCCAAAGCCAAGCCCAACATTCCGCCAGCAGCCTCCCGCCTGATCAAGCAAAGAGACGAAACAAGAAGAAACAACCCTCACTCCGAAGACATTCCGACCTTGAACGCCAGGATAGACTTCCTCATTTCCAAGCAAAGAATGGAGAAATGGAAAGAGCATGTGGCAACATTCGACAGAAAAACCAATGTGACCAAACTCTGGAAGACAATCGGCGCGATCACAGGAAAGAAACAAAGTGCCCCTCCAAATCAAGGAATAAAATTCAACGAAAAACAGATTAAAGACGCCAGCAGTATGAGCAACGCTTTCAATATACAATACGCAAGACCAATGAACCACAAGACCGAGAAAGACAACAGGAAAATAAACAGAAACATAAAGAAACAACCTCTCAACGACGCCCCAGTCATTACCTCCAAACAAGTAAAAACTGCCATACAGAACGCGAAGAACTCCAAAGCATTCGGCCCAGACAACATCTCGACCACTCACATGAAACACCTCGGACCAAATGCTATCAACTACCTCACGAAGATCTTCAACCTGTCGCTCAGCAAATGCCAGATCCCAGCAATTTGGAAGTCGTCAGTCATTATTCCGCTGCTGAAACCAGGCAAAGACGCAGGCCTCAGCAACTCGTACAGACCCGTCTCCTTGCTTTGCCCAGCCTCGAAGATCCTGGAGAAGTGCATCCAACCTCTCATCACCGAACACCTCCACTTCGCCAGTCACCAACACGGCTTCCGGTCCAAGCACTCAACGGTCACCGCTCTTTGTGACATCACGACAGCCATCTCCAACGGCTTCAACAGAAAGAAACCAGCCGACAGGACTCTGCACGGTTAAGCATTCCAAGCTCCTCGACCTCATCAACAAGACCAGTGCCCAGTGCTCTGAAAAGATGGCTCGCGAACTTCCTACAAGGACGACAAGCAAGAACACTGTTTCGCGACTCTCTCTCAAAAGCACGGATAGTTCGGTTTGGAGTGCCACAAGGATCAGTTTTGTCGCCACTCCTTTTCAACTACTACGTCGCAGACGCACCTAGCCCTCCGGACGAAATCAAGATCAAGTCCTACGCAGACGACTTCACGTCCCTCATTCTCGGCACCGACATACCAGCAATGGCAGGAAAACAAACGGAGTACCTCGCAGAACTAGTGAACTTCTTCGAAGAGCGAAACCTCCAGATCTCCATTGACAAGAGTTTTGTCACGCTGATGACACCACAGACAGCCCAATACAAAACCGTTCCTGAAGTGAAGATAAACAAAGAACAAATAAGAATGAACAACCAAGCGAAGATCCTCGGCATCACTTTCGACACCATGCACACTTTCGGGGCCCATTGCAGAGACACTGCGAAGAAATGCTCTCAACGCAACAACGCCCTGAAAGCGCTTGCCGGCACTGACTGGGGAAGCGACAAGGAAACACTCCTCATGACCTACAAAGCCGTTGTTCGCTCTAAACTTGAGTACGGCGCCGCTGTGATAACGCCCACACTCTCCGAAAGCAACATCGAGAAACTACAGAAGGTCCAAAACAGCGCCCTGAGAACAATCACCGGATGCCACGCCATGACTCACATAGACCACCTTCACCAAGAAACATCCGTTCTACCAGTTAGACGACACCTCAGAATGCGAACGATACAACATCATCTCGCCAACCACTTGCCAGATCACCCAGGAAACCAACTCACGAAAGAACCCAAGAACCCACCAAGACTCATGAAAGAAACCCTCCAAACACGATATGAAGAAAGATACATTGAACCTTTACTCGACAGCAATAGACCTCTAACCGAAAAGAAGTACAGAAACCTGCTAAAAACGATCCACACAAATGAGGTACGCGACGCCTTACAAACCTACGAATACCCAGCAGTCCTCGGACACAATCCACCAAAAATTGCCAAAGAAGAAACCGAATTACCAAGAACAACAAGAAGAACACTGGCACAGCTCAGATCCGGCTACTCAAAGTTCCTGAACTCGTACATGAACAGAATTGACCCGACAGTAAGCGAACTTTGCCCGGACTGCCAGCAAACAAGCCACACAACTATACACCTGTTCGACTGCATCGCAAATCCTACGAACTTAACCCCAGCCGATCTCTGGAAGCAACCGAAGAAGACAGCAATATTCCTGAAACTCCCCACAACCCTGGACCCAACAACGAGCGACGAATAGATCTCAGAAGGGCAACAACAACAAGTACAAGTCATTGTTGCATGAAAAAGCAGTAATTAGGGAGCCCATGAGGTCTATGACCAGCAGATATCATAACATCTGTTGACGAAGTTAACAAAATTGCTTTGCCCCATTAGAAAATAAGCGTTATTATTATGATGACGGTATTAAGTCGCTCAATTTTGGTGATCAAAGAATTGGGCAAAAAAGACAAAAATTGAAAACACCTTGTTGAGCACGCTGTGGTGACAAAAAATGCAGGAAATGAGACTTCCATGAACTGAAATTGTTTATGAAGAAAACGAGATAATGGACCACAATAGTGAAAACGCATTCATTGTTCCAGATCTACGGTTTTGGCGCACTGGAGAAGTGTTAGATCTAGAAACTGATGACTCAGACATTGTTGACTGGGAGGCGTCTGCCATTAAAAAATATTAACAGCTATCAGCTTTCATCAACTCAGAAGCTATAGAAGACAATGAACTACCTCCAGCCAAGCGCTCGCATAAGTGTTAAGAGTAACACATGAAGATAATACTTAACGCATGGCCGCTTCAGTTCAAGTTTTACCAATCGTTTCCTCAAAATACTGAAAATGTAAATGCAAGCTACCTTTAGAGCTGTGGAAGAGCTTTCATTAAATTCTGCAAACAAATTGATTGTCTATTTTACGGGATTGATCCAGTATTTAGCGGGGTTGATATGTTATTTTAATCTCGTAAGATGAATTGTATGAGTTCGGGTTCGGAAAATATCAGGCTCAAGCATGTTTCTTTCCCCCGCCGCGAGATATGATATTTTTGAAAGAGCTAAATACAACGGTTATGGATGGCTCACAAGATCCATCGCCTTACTACTTAATTACTTTTCCCAAAGTTGGAACGTTTTTTTTAGCGCTTGGGATTAAGCAAGCGTAATGAAACATTCAAACTTTGGTAAAAGTAATTGAGTAGTTAATTTTTCATTCGGCTTTGACCTTCCATCTTAATAATTTCAATTACGAATTGACTCTAGCAGGGAGATTATTGTGACCAATAATCGTGTTAGTAAACCCAAGGCCAATACGTTTTTAAGAACTTTTAGCACGAATAACACGTTTTTTGTCCGAGCTAATTCTAAGTCAATTTATCAGCTCAAGAAGAATAGGGCTTGGTCAAAAATAAATTAGAGCACACATGCAATGAACATAATAGAAAAAATATCAAATCCATTTCGTCTAGCAAACTGAGTCTTTAAACAGCATGAGTAACGAACAAATGCAGAACTCTGGGGACGAGAATTCTGTGAATTTTGAAACTTGTTGGCACCAGGAAATAATTCTTCTGTATAAAAGGTCCGGCACTGACTCAGCAATTCTATTAGGGAGTACTTCCGATTCGTGGAATGGAGAATAAAAAGCTTATTTAAGGAATGTATATCACGGCAAAATAAATTTAAGAACTATCAGTTTTCATCTCCATACAAGAGACAAACGAAAATCATTTCGCTATCAAGCTGTTTGCAAAAATTTAGAAGAACCGTTTTGAATAATGAGTTGTATGTTTGAATGAGCACATTCAAGTAGTTCATGGCCTCAATTTCAAACGATCCTTCACAACTTAAGAAAAATAAATTACACGGTTACAAACAAATACAGCAAGCACAAGCAAGTCTAACTAATAAGATTTATTTCTCAAAAGGATATTTACAAATTAGGAATGAATACAAGCTGGGAAAACATGAATTTACTTGATTTTAAAGTTAACTTTTAAAATTTTCGTTTTTATTTGACACATTCTTATAGTCCTAAGAAGGCTTAACTAAGCATAATACAAAAACAAGCACCTTAGGTAAGGGTAATGAAAAACAATTTCAGCTATATTTAAACTTGTCATTTGAATTGGAGGATTATAATTTCTCTATTGTATATTACAAGTTTTATACAAAAAGAGTTACTGCAGTAATAAATATTGGGTTTCTGAGACTTTCGATGATCGAAACGATCACAATAAGGTTAAGCTACTACGACATTTTAATACAAAATATTACACAATTTTTTTGTTCTGGATTTTAAAACTTTGAATTTATTTACATGCTCCAGAAAATTGCATTCGATTTGTGCATTTGGAAGGAATGATAATAATGATAAAAATTGACTTGCTGCACGCTTGGAAACCTTTGAAAGAATTCTCGAAATTCCATTTTGCACTTCTTGATCGTATATTAAACATCAGCATCTTTGGCACAATTTTTTTGATTATCGTACAGTTTACGGTTTTTGTCTCTTTGGCGTGAGATTCCGTCCAAGATTCAGTTTGAACAGTTTTGCTTGAGCCTATCCTTTCATATAGTACTAGAAACATATGATCCCGAGGTGGTGAAGATAAGAGAGGTAGTCTTGAATCTCATTCAGCGTTCCAGCCCCTTTAAACCCTTTTGATGAAGTCCAAAGACAGCGTCTCTGGTATTGTAATAGACAGTAGCGACACCTAAAACACATCAACTCATGACTAAACTACTTGATCGCATATCAAAAAACAAACTTAAATGGATTACTTTTTGACACCCTTTTTTGGTAGCATTTTGGAATTGACAATCGTTGAAAAGCTTAGTTTACACAAAAATGAACAATTATTAAATTTTGTGGGACAGTTGATAGTATTTCTACCTGCGAGGGGTGGTAGGGGAATGTGATTGGGAAGAGGTGCTTGCTGTCCATCAGCAGTGACCCCCCTGCTCCACCGACACCGGGGGGACTAGGTCTCTGCTTCAACTTCTCCTCTGTCTTGCGAATGAAATCTACAGACACTTTGTCCTCGTAGTCATTGATTGGAGTGTACAGACTCAACACTTTGATTATCTGCAATCAAACAACACAAATTTAGCTTTCAATTACTTTATAACCACAACTTATCACAAATATACTAAATTCACTTCGCTTGTATACTGATGATTCTTAGATCTGTTCTTAGATGACTTTTGACACTAAATTGTTTTATACTTCGCCAATTAAACATATCCGAGACAAAAAAATAAATAGTACACAGAGAAGCTAAGCCGAGTATCGGAACACTTCCGATATCACAAAATTGCGTTACAACATGGTGAATGGAAAAAAACTTCAATTTATGGCCTTAAATCTCTTCAAATTTCAAGATTAATCTATAAAACACACTTTTTTGACAGAATAAAACCAATTTGAGACACAGAGACGAAGCTGTACCTCGCAAACAATAGCAATAAAACGACGAAAAGGAGATCATTAAATAAAAATTAGGCAAGTCGAAAGTGCCACCAAATATAAATCAACTACTTTCTTCTATTTGCGCGTTAGGTTGGGAACAAGTAGATTGCTACTAATAAACTACGCTAAATGGTTCGCTAATGTGAAAAATGGATCAACAGGTAATTTTTTCCGCTAGGAAATCCGAAAATTAAAATCCACTTTCGGAACTAGAAGTCGATAAATTTTTCATTGACTTTACATTTTCGCTGTTCGTTAGTGGAGTTTGCCTTCCTTTTAGAATTGAGTTGAAAATTAATCTCAAAAATCAAACCGCGGAAAATTCTAAGACTTCCTGAAAAAAAATCATCAAGACCTGTATAAAAGTATACACGATGTTCATGACTCTTAAAAACGAGCTGACGGAAACTAGGACGAAAACTACGAATCCGAAAATCAACATCGAAACAATAAACTGAAACTAACCTCGCCTAAATACTACATAAATGATGGTAACTTGTTTTTTAATTTCCAAGAAATTGAGCATGGCAACTTATCATTCCTACTAAATTTACCATTCTGTGAACATGTTATTTACGGGGGAAAAGTCTAGTACCCGATTGCAGCACTCTTGCTGATCTCAAGGGTAAAGAAACTTTCTCAAATTGAAATAGATTTATTTCCAACGAATTTTTATGGTAATTACTATGGGGTTTCTCGTTTATCTTATTGAACTATTTAATTTCCACCCTGGCTATTCGGAATGTTTTGACCAAATAAATTTTCAGAACTAGACGTCTCAAAAGACTAATTGTCGCAAACAGGAAAAATACATTTTCGCCTTAGTTAATTTTCCCAGTATAATTAAAACGAGCTTTGTTCAGTTCTAGTGCAAACATTATGGGTTCACTAACTTGTTGGTTAGTGAGTTTCTTGCACATGAACACGATGTTGTCGACATCTGCGTCTGTTTTCTTGCCCACTTGCAGCAGCTGTGCGATCTCCACCAGCACTGCCAGCTGTTCCTCGGTGCCACATTCTGCCAGTCTGTGGTTGCGAAGCCACTCCTCCAACTCAGACAAGTTGTACCTGAAGTATCATTACATTCATTACTTTAAAAAAAAATACATAATAATAAGATCCTAAAACAGTTTACATCGTACAGTGAAGACTAAAAAATAAAATTAAGGATCAAAAACATGATGCGTATCTGTATAATTTAATTGGTTAATCTGCCACGAAAATGTTTCGGAGCATCTTTCAAATTTCCTTTATGGAGACCAAACTATCATACTTGTATCCTTGTAGGAAGTAATAAACGTATTTTTCAGTAAAGAGTGGTAACAAATAGTCACAATGTGAAAATTATTTGAAGTGAATGATGTTGTGCGTACCTGATCTGCATGCCCTTGAACCAGTGGCACATCTCCCTTCGCAGCAACAGGTTGTTCACAGTAGACGACACCACCATGTATATGATCTAGGCAGACAACGTGAGATTTTATGCTTGACTATTTTTTGATCAAATTAACCCAATTTGAGGAAACTCGATCAATAAATAATTTTTATTCCGCTGAGAATTCTGAAAAAGAAACTAATTCTTGTTTTTTACGCCATTTGTTTTTAAGTTCTTTTAAAGCGTATATAGCTTTCCTCAAAATTAAGAAATCAAGTCAAATTTGGCGTGAACTTTCCTGAAAAACGACAAAAAAAACCAATGCGACATATATAAGTTTCTTCCCTCCGTCTTTTACACTTCAATGCGTTAAAGCCTTATTTTAGAAATTGGTTAGCGAAAAATGCAACCAGAGGTTTCTTTTTTCACAATTTCTAGACCGGTGTTTGACTTAAACAATTTTAACGACATTTGAAAACCACGCCAAACCGATCTCTTCCCGTTCTCTACAATTTAGTATACGACTGACCTATGTGTATCGGAAATTAAATAACGCTAGCTACTACCACTAAAGCAGTAACAGCAACTATTAAATTGACAAGACTATTCAGCAACCAAAGAAAACCCAAACTCTTTCAGATTTGGCACGATAGTTTTCGAGAAAATCAAAAGTTTCCGAACGGTCTAAATTTCAAATGTCGATTTTTTCTGCGTTTAAACTAATTTCTACAAAAAAGTTCGTAGTTGCTCAGCAGACAAAACTGCTGCTACCTTTTCTTTCGATTGATCCCTTTATGCCAGATTTGCCATGATAGTTTGAGAAAAGTCAAGTTTCCAAAAACGGTCAAACTTACAACATTTTTCTACATTAATTAGGTTATAGCCGTTTCTGCGGGAAGGATTCTAACAGCAGTTCTTATGATTGAGCCTTTGATCTCCAGTGTTTAGCAGAGTAGTTTTCAAGAAAAGGTAAAAATTTTCCTAGAAACGGTCAAACTAAAATTTGGACATTTTCTGAAGCCATAACGCTTTGTCTACAAAAACAAAAGCGAAGCCAAAAAAAGTTATCAAGAAATTCCCCCACTACAATTTTCGAAGGCCGCCGGGTAAGGTAGAGAGACAAGCAGAATATGCGACACAGGGTCTTCCCATCACACAGGGTATTTGCATTAATCATACAGGGTCTTTTCGCCACTTTTGAGAAAGCAAAGGTGCCAGCAAAGAAGCTTCACTTGTGTAAAAAACAGTTGAGAAAAAAAAACAGTTCTAAAAACAAAAGTCAAAGAAATGAAATCAAAACCCGAAAAAAGTCTAAAAAACAGTCCCTTCAATCGAATTGACAATTGTTTCATTAGCTGATCAGATTATTTTCGGATTAATTCTGGTATCAACCCTGTCAGCTAAAGGAACAAAAATTTTTGTGATAATTCATCTGGTTGATACGTTAGCATCACGGAAAATTATCAATTTACGACAGAACATCATAGCAAAATTATTATTAGCAAAATTTTAATACGCATCAACAAAAATGGACGCTTTTTAGACATCTAGTCAGTGAAAAACTAGTTGCTAAAAATTTTTCAGTTGCAAATGTTTGTACCACAATTCACGTACCAGCGAAGCAAATGATTTTTCAATTGAAAACTATGAATGACTTATCCATGAACAAATTTCTTCTCAAATGAAAACTATGAATGACTTATCCATGAACAAATTTCTTGTCTTATATTAAACATCAAACAATGTCGGATAACTCCCTTCCGATGCACTCTACATAAAGCAGTTCTATTAAACGCGTTCAGCCAAAAATGTATTCGGTTAAAATCGCTAAGGATCACTGTCAAATTCTCGGCCCTAGTGACATCAAAAACACAAAGTGAGAAAAATTACCCAAGCAGAGCAGCAGTTTCTGATGTATCGCCAAAACAACAATTTGGCAGTCCAGCGAACGTTATCCCACAAACAGAAATACACAGAAGTCAAAGAAGTAAACCAAAAATGGGAGCAAACTTTGTTAACAGAGTTTGCATTACCGGGCATAACGATGTAGCACAGAATGACGAGCAGTTTTATCAACTGTCTAAGCAAAAAGCTCTACAGCATGAAAGGCGGATGGTTGTGTTTGCAACGTTACAAGGGTTGGATTTACGTCAAATGACCGCTGACTCGTTGTCCAACTTACATTTTCTAGAGTTCCCAAGATATTCTATCAACTAGGCATTAAATACATATCAATTCAAGGATGCCTTTTACCCATAGTTTACCATCTGCTTATAAAAAAAAGAATCATCGTTTTACCTCCTGGTGATGTTTTAAAAGTCAATTCTTCCAAACAAATTACAATTGACTTCGAAGTGTTTGTAAGAAAATCAATTGCAATAATAAATTCCAATACGTTTTGCCTCTTCCCCATAAGTCGGTGACTAACCACAAACTCAGTCATCAGGCCCCACCATTTATCACAACACTCAACTAAACTTACGGGAGCACATTCGATTAAATCTCGCAACAGCATTTCTGCCTAAAGAAGACGTCCTAGCTGCCGGTGATTTTCTCCGAAGTATGGCATCTGCAGACATCAACCGATCTTCGATTATTCCGAGGACACTTGCATTGGTAGATTTAACAGGTTCGGCATAGAACATTGGAACAACGATTAAGAAGGATGTAATAGCGATTTTGTTAAATTAGTGAACGGCAAGCATCCTTGCTTTTCCTGTTCTTTGATAGTTAATTCTGCTCACGTTTGATGTCAAAGCACAAAATAATTTTGTCGACGTCATAATAGACAGAGGCAAAGCTGCGCTTCGCAAACAACTGCGAGAACACGACCGAAAATCAGCTCTATCAAATGAAATAAGAAAAAGCAGAAATAAACTTCGAATTAGCAAAACTCGGCTATGTGTCGGTTTCGAAACTGCGACCTGCCAAACTTGAGTCTCACTCAATAACCACTCAGCCACGGGTACTTAAAATCCCCAAAAACTAGTCACAAATAATGCAGCTACATATGCTAATAAATTGTCAATTCGATGAAGCAAAAGTAGCACTAAATACAAAAGGACGAAATTTTGCTTGTTGTAAATTGGAAAGCATAATGCTATGTTATGTATAAATTATGCTAAAATTATGTATAAATTATGCATTTCAAAAAACTTGCGAGATACATTAAGTTGGAAAGTTTCTAAATAGAGCTTTTTATCATTGTACTGCTGTTTGAAACAAATAACTTTTTTCGGTTCATTTGATGACATAAAATTACATCAGCTGTGTTAACTTTTTACAAATCAAATGTCGACGCACATATGATATTATACTGCTACCGCAGCCTACCGATTCAAAAACGCCACCAAAAGTAGCACTTTTATTTGCGAATTAGGTTGAAAAAATTCGTACAAATACACTTTGCTTCGCTACCTTTCGGTCAAAAAGGACGAGTGACCTTGGACAGATTTGTATTGGACTGCTTTTGCGGTTTCTTCTGATTTTTTTTTGTACGGACTGTTTAAAACCAGCGTGCTCCTTGCATTTAATAAAGCTAAAGTGAAAACTTACTTTTTAACTGAATAAATTTTTTTTACAGAGGTAAAGCTGAGCTTCGCACCAATTGCGATACAACAAGTATAGGATCAAAACAGCACGACACTTAAAAAATATCGAAGAAGAATTCGAACGTTGCTATCGTTGAAGAAACAACTCGAAAACCAAAAAAAAATAGAAAATAAGTTTTTTTATGTTCAAATATATTTAGAAAATCAGAAAATCTAAGTGGTGTTCAATTTGAGCATTCAAAAACTTAAATTTGGAGCCAAAGACTTTAAGATCTCATAAACAATATCGGAAATTTATAAGAAACAAAATATTAGGTAAATAAGCCGACAGAATCAAAGCCGACAGCCAATTAGCTGAAAATCAACCAAAATCTTATTGGAAAAATAAATGTACTGCCCAAATAGTATCCACAAAAGCCATTTATGTACTGAAATCAAGTTGTTATACACACCGAGAGCTTAATCGAAAGCCGAAAAATCATAATATCGATATTAAGCGTAATACCGATGCTTTATCACTATAAAACCAACTAGATCTATCAAAATGAATGAAGATAATTTTGAAAAAACATTCCACATCAATAGAATGCAAATTAGCATCAGAACAAGACTGACCAAGGGGTAACAAAACAGAAAAAAACCTGGGCAGAAACCTTTCATGCCGAAAAAACTTTAAATAAAAACTTCTAATAAATAAAAAAAATTTGAGTATCCCTTCCCCTCCGAACACATAAGCCGCAAAAAAAGACAAAAAATGAGAAAATATATATATATATATATATATATATATATAAATATATATATATATATATAAATATATATCGCGTTGAAAAAGTTACAACCAATGTAAAAAAATTCGATTCGGCTAAAACACTTAAAGCAACTACAGTGAAAATTGTTTACAGCAAAAATGAACAACTCTTAGATGTGGCAACTAAGCTGAAAAAAGATAAGACAAATAATAGGATGAAATTTTTTGAACCGTTTGAAAAAAAAATCAGGTCCTGGTCAGATTCGAACGAGCCCTGGACCTTTGACGCCCCAGGCGTATTCGTCGTTACCTCCAAGCTAAGTGTGCAGGAGACGATAAAAAATTTGAATTCATGAACCACCAGGCGTCGATGAGTCATGCGAACAACGTTTCTTACGGGAAAAACTAGTATCCGATTGCAATACCCTTGCTAATCGCAAGGGTAAAAATTTATTGAAAACTTTTGAAGTTCATTGAAAACTTAGGTTTGATATTTTTGTCTGAATGAACGTATAATAAAATCAATTATCGCACACTGCAAGCATGCAAGCTTTCCGCTATACCCGCATCTTTCATTCAGGACTGATTATTTTGAGGAAGCTTATAACTCACTTGTTTGAACAGCTGCTTTACGACATCGAAGTCCAGTGAGTGCCTCGAGAACACGTTGAGGAAAATGGACAGCTGAAACGATCGGAAATTAAAGACATCTCACCAACTAGCAACATTTTAAAATCAACAATTTCAACTAGCGACAATTTAAAATCAACAATTTCTATCTTCATCAGATGACGTGGACTAAACTGCCTTAACATTTAAGCCACAACCTGATTGCTGTCACATGTTACCTGTTTGAGAATAGTGTCCAGAGTGTATTGCGGTTTCTTGTTTGGTTCGCCTTGACTGGCTGCCCTCTTTGTGGCTGCCCCTCCTCCTAAGGCCTTGCCACTGCTCATGATCTTGTTCAGACCCTCATTCTCCAACATTCCAGAGACTATGGAACAAAAGTTTCAATTGTTTCCCATGCAACTTATCTATGGGGAGTTTAGTAATCTGGCAGCACTATAATGAGCCTATCCACTAGGATTTGATTTGAATTTGCGATACAAAATTAAATGCAAGATAATGATGGTCGTATAAAAAAAAAGATAAAATAAAATGAATTATATTGAAAAAATAGTCGCCTGAAAACTCAAAAAAAATCGGCAATTCTTATAGAAACCTATTAATTAATTCAGGCAACACTATCAGCCTTTATTTCTTTCTTATTACTAGATGGAAAGGACAAGGAAAATGCGAGGTTTCGGTCCTAAAATCCAAACCTAACAACTTGGCTCAAAATCTTGGAACCAAAAACACTGCATGACTTTTAAGAACATTCAGGGGTATCAACAGGTACTTTCGATATTTTGCTTGCTATAAACAAAAAATTGAAGGAAAAAAAATTGAAAACACACAATTTTTTAACAATAGCCACGAAAAAGAATTTGCTGAAAATCTACAAAACTCTGAAAGCCTATAGAGTTAACCCCATTAGATCAATCTTGTCAATTATTAATTTAATACGCATTTGTAAGTGAGCTAAACTAAACTACAACAGAACATAGCCAACTGACAGTTAGAAAAGAGTAATGAACGCAAGGAAACTTGTTTTTTCAAAAATCTTCAACTTTTGAATTTCGAAGAAAAAAATAGATGGCCTTAAATCTCTTTGAATTTGTAGAATTTATGATGGACATTTTTTTTTCTTAAAATCAACCCATTTAGGAAAACTGGATCAATAGGTAAGAGTTTTATTTCGCTGGGGAATCTGATAATTAATTTACATATTCGAAATTAGAATTAGATAACTTTTTCGTGACCTTTACAATTTTGCTGTACGATAGTAGAGTTTGCCTTCCTTTTAACAATAGAAATGCACTGAACTCAAATAGAAATCACAAGTCAAACCGCGAAAAATCAAAATTGAGCGTGAGCAAATTTTAATAGTTTTTCCTGAAAAAAAAACAAAAAAAAATCAGCAAGAGGTATTTAAGAGCACTCACTACGTTCATTACTCTTAAAAAATAACAATTAAAAAAAAGACGCCAGTTAACGAAAAAAAAAACACCAAAATTTATAATTTCAAAACATCAGACAAAAAACACTCATGGGTCTCGTGCAGCAACCGCCAAATATCTTCGTACACAAAACAAATTGCGAAACAAAAATTTACTAATTAAAACAATACTGAGCCATCACCTAGAATGGGTTTAAAATAAAATTGCTCAAAAATAATAATGTCGCTTCAAAAATTGAAATGAAATCAATTAAACCTACAAACAAAACCAATTCACATCTGAGAATTTTTTCAGCTGTAGATCCAGTAACTCATTAACTCTATACACAGTACTTGTAGAGCCAAAACTACAGCTCCTAAAGCCAACTTGGGTGAAACTGGAGATCTTCTATCAAAGGAGATCTAGTGAACAAATATATTTACGGGAAAATAGTCTAGTATCCGATTGCCATACCCTTGCTTATCGCAAGGATAAACATAACTTAGACAGTGGTGCAATTTCACATAATTTTTGAGACAAAACTCAAATATGATTTTTTTAAAATTCACCAAAAATTTGGAACTTACTCACTTTACAATTTAAGCGCACGTCACAATCTGTTATTTTTTTCGGTCAAATACTAATAGCTGAAATGTTGTAAAATCACTGATTTAAATAGCTCTACTAACTGATTCTAATCTGTTAGTAAACAAAATACCTTTCGTTTCCCTTTTAAACAGTCACAAGTTCACACTCAAAACCGTGCACAAGCCTCGATTATACTGCAATGAAATTCTATCTAACCTTGGACGCATATTTTGGCAAAACAATCAAACCAATTCATCAGTTCTGATTCAAATTAACCGGACAATACGAATAAAGATTGCAATTTAAACGCGTTTTTTTTTTCAAATTGAGTTGATTGTAGATAAAAATGATACAAGCAAATCTTACAATTCCAGCAGAATTAATTTGGTGCAATTTATTTTGCGAAATTTGGGTTCACAATTTTACCCCAAAACCGATCATTTTCGACTTTATTTAGTCAATGTAAAAATACGCCGGAACTACCAAACCAACTGCTAATAAAACTATACCAAAAGGAGTGTCTTATTTAGCCGAACAATAGTGAAGAACTTTCCATCAAATTGAGCAAAACGTTTAAAAATTGTTAAATTAAAAATTGGAATTTTTATAGGAAAATGACACTTTTTGGATATCAAACGAATAAATAAATTTAGCTATAAAAATTTTGAAAGATTAAATTCTTCTTCAACTTGGTTCGGCTACATAAGACACTCACTTTGGTATAATTTTATCAGCAGTTGATTTGATAATTCCGGTGTATTTTTACATTGACTACAAGAAGCCAAAAATGATCGGTTTCGGGTTAAAATTTTGAACCCGAATGTAGCAAATTAAATTGCACTACATTAATTCTGCTGAAATTCTAAACAAGTTTTGTCTTCTTCATTTTTTGTCTAAATCGACCCAATTTGAGAAAAACGCGTTTTAATATTCAAGTTTTATTCGTTTGGTCAGAATAATTTAAATCAGCACTGCAAATCAGCAATTTAAGTCAGCATCAAATTCTGGAACTTCAATCTGTTTGGTTATCAAATGCACCCAACCCGTGATGCGACAACTCGCATTAAAAGACAACTCGCAATATTCTCACCTCAGAGTCGCGCCAACGTGTTACGTGCTTGACAACTGAGGGTAGGACTAAAGACAAAACTTAGAGCCGGCCATCGCCGCGAAGCGTAGACGCGCGCATAGCGTGCCCACCGGCGACCTTAAACCAAAATTCTTAAGTTACAAACTAATTTTTAAACTCGCTTTCCTAAGTTTTGCGAGTTGTCTTTTGTTACGAGCTTTATTGTTGCGATTTGTCGCAGTACCCACCCAACCACATGCTCACAAAAACACACCAAACCAGCGAACATAGCTACTCATCTTAGAGGTCTGCAGTCGATAGATAATCTATATCCTATCGACGACAATCGATATCAAGCTATGTATCGTTAACCCGAATCCGTGTTTCATTCACACCTTTACACGCATGACAATCTTTACCCTTACCCGATCTAGGGATCGACATCGCCAGCCCACCTGCAGGCTCTCTGGTGGTGGCGGGTGCTTTCTGCGCGGAGTATGTCGCTATAAGCGAATCTGTTTTCAACTTTACTGGCGCGGCTGTAGTTGCCGTGAAGGCGGCAGGGGAAGAAACACTTTCATGTTCCAGCATGCCTTTTACTATAGCAGCATAAGGGCAAAAATTCACAGTAAGAAACTGCATGTAACGGTAAAGAAATTGCATGTAATCTACGTCATTGTCTTTTCATTACACAACGCTATTACATAACGCCCGATATATTAATGTCATCTACACCACATGTAAAAGGAAAAAGACTTTAGGCTAGACGGGGTTTTGAATAAGAGGGTAGATAACATGAACTGAATACATCGTACAATACAAATATCAAGTTAGATACTAACGGCAGTGAAAAATTAGGAGATCATGTGACTAATTTATGTGGGGCAGGGAAAGCTCATTAACATTTTGAAGTAAACGAGCTAGGCCGAATGATTAGACATTTTGAAAATGTGATTTTTATCCTAATTTGAATTCAACCATGGAAAACCATTTCCACAAGGAAATTTGGAGGAAATTACATTTTTGCTGTAAGATCAAAACACTAACAAGCTTCTTATGATGTTTTCTTTTGAACAATCAAACGCCAAGACAAAAATAATCGAATTAATTTTTAAAAAGATGTCTGAAGGCCATTTGTAAAAAAAAATAAACCCTGTTAGATCTGCTATTTTATACAACCAACCGATCATGGGTTGCAATTTGGAGTCGATGATGCGCACTAGGTTCTGGTAGATCTGGATGGCAAGGTCATTGATGATGTTTCTGTACTCTGTAAGATCGAAGTTGCGTAGAGACATCTGATTCTGGTGGTCAGTGTTCTTGCTCATGTAGATCTTAAAACAAAACACTTTCAGTACTTTATTGCCACACAATTCTCGACAGCATATACTTTGAAAACCTAGGATGAACGTTGTAAGATTTCCAAGTTGTTTTTATATTGAAATCGAAAAAGCACCTCCTCTCCACTATATTGCTTGAGCAGATGAAGAAGCATCACGCAGTTAGACAGCCAAAGAGACACACACTCTGCGTCATCGTATCTCTTCTTGATAGCCTTCTTGACTCCATTGATTGTCTCGTGCAACAGAGACCTCACCCGGAAATCATCATTCAAGTGGTCACAGTGCCTTATACACATCAGGATTACATAACTCGGCAAACACGGGGTCATTGTGGCAGCCACAACTGGCTTCAAATCTATGATGAGGTTTCTTATCAGACTCTGCTCGTCGCTCTTCGCATATGACAGCATTCCGTGGAATATCTGCTGTTGGTGCATGCTACTCTTTCTGTTGCCATGGGTTCCATTTGTAGCTACAATACTGTTGGTTCCCGCGCCTGCCATAGAGGCGCCCCGACCAGTCATCGGTGATCCCGAAGGAGTGTCGCTCTTCCTGGATCCACTCTCGTCGTCCGAGGACTTCCCAGTGGATCCAGATCCCTTAGACTGCTTTCGCAACTTCTTTATTATCTTGTCCTGGGAGTCGATCACTGCCCTCAAATCCTACAAAAAAGCAGCCCAACATTATCACTTTTTTAAGAAACAAAAGTTCTTCAAGACAGAAAATGAAAACAGTCGAAGCAATGATCTTTGATTACATAAAGTTGTCCAATCAGAAAGACGTAGAGATGGAATTTTGTTGAGATTCCAATGCAAGTAAGTTTTTCTCTCAATTTGTTAAAAACTGAAACTAATTTCAGATCAAGTTGATCTCACTCTCATTTTGAAGCAGCTAAGATAAGAACTTACAGCCTGACTGGACAAAGCCTGCACAAGTGCTTTGTTTTTAGGATCAATGTTGAATTTGGCTGCAATCTGCAAAACAAGACCTACGCTGCAGACACATGCATAACACTGAACTTAAGTTCACTTGACTTTAAAATGCAGAAAAAGAACACAACCAGAAGCAATAATTAAAACTTTCCATACTTTAGGGTTGCTTCTGTAGCAAATTGCTAATATAAGTCTAAAATGCACTACCGATTATCACGCAACCAATATAAAACAAGACTAATAGTCAAAACAAAAACAGAATTCAATTAACAGAGTGAAATCAGATAACATTTGTGATGACTGTACACATCGTCAGACGATTTCGAAGCTCGAAGGATGATGAAAAATAGGCTATAATGTAAGCGTTTTATTAGCTAAAATAAGCGTTCTTTGCTGAATAAATTATCTATTTACAAATTAGGTATCGATAGATCTGATTGATTAAGATGGAATGTACGTCAACCGTAGCTAGCAGTTCTCTCAAATACAAAGTTCCGTTTTGTCGATTTAATTTTTGCTGTATTTCCAGTAAAAGAGCTCAAAAGGATTGTTCGACACAAATAGCTTAAGGGATGTGTTGTTAAGCATGCTGAAATTCTATAATAGATGCTGGGCACACAATACACGGTAAGCAGACCCACGAAAGACACAGATACACATGCAAGTCCACAGAACGCCCCCCTCCCAAGAGAGAAGGTGGGGCGGGTTTTGGGGTTACAGGCAGGAACCGGGGCTCGATCACGTACCATGTTGTCGCTCTGCAGTCTATTAATCTCCACTTGGTAAGTCTGCTCTATACGCTCTCGAGCGGTTAGTCGCGAGTACTGCAATCACAAAGCCACTATCATTAAAGTTTTAATGGTTCCGACCCACGAAAAAATGTAGGGCCTGTCATTTGGTGTGGTATGGTTTTTGTTCAAACTATTGAAATGGGAGACGAGTTGAGTTTTTTTTCTATTTTTCCACGCAAAATCAGTCACCTAAAGAATTATCGGGATGGGTTGAGTTATATTTCTTTTTGAAAACCTGTCAATCGTTATACGGATAATAGGTTTTTAAATACCAAATTTTGTCCCTATTTTGAAAAAAAAAAAAACGGTTTGCAGGTTTTAGCCGCAGCCTAATTTCAAGCGAGGAAAGGGAGCTATAACGCCTAATAAAAACTAAAATTTTTAATTCGAGTAGTGAAAAACATATTCTAACTTCGGAAAACTAGTTTTGAAGCTTTATTTAGCAAGTCCTTGGCAAATAAAAGTTTTTGAAAAATCAAAAAATTTTTCTACAAAAAAATCAGAAAAATAAATCTTATCTGATTTTTTTTGTTTGTATTCCCTTTTCGAAGACAAATAGTGTGTATAATGTCTAATTCACTAACTTTCTAAGGCGTTCGTATAATCAAAAAAGGCACCAAAATGAAATATAGCCAAAAGAAGGTTGGAACTGTGTAAAAAGAAAAGCAAACCGAAAAAAAACTTTGAATTTTTGAACATTTTTCAACTTTAGAATTCCGAAGGAAAAACATCAGGAGAAAGCTCTTTGAATTTCAAAAACAACTTCTGAGTGAGGTTTTAACCCATTTTAATTTGACACCAAATTTAATAATTTATACCCAATTTTTTTAAAAACTATTGTTTGAACAAACCTCAACTCTCAAAATTAAACGAAAAAAGTATATGACCATAAGGCTCTTTAAACTTCGAGAAAAAAATTATGACTGGCGTTTTTTTGAGACAATTAAGCTTATTTGAGATAACTGCAGAAAAGGTACATTTTTATTCCGCTGAAAATATTAAAATAAATTCCCTTTTCGAAATAGAAATCGGTCACGTTTTTGCTCCATTTCCACGTTCGTATTTGGAGAGTGCTATTTACGTCATTTTCAGCAGATGAATTTCAATTGAACTCAAAAAGTGCATTATAGCAAGTGCATTAATATTTTAAGACTTTTTTCTGAAAAAAAAACAAAAAAATTCATCAAGGCCTATAAAAGAGTCTTCACTACGTTCATTACTCTTAAAAACAGATGACACCATCTGACAGTTCCCAGGCTACGCCTGCCATACGATGTCATTTTGTTTTGATTAAGAGTACTTTATTGCTACCCCTTTTTAAAACTTACCATCTCAGATGGTACTTTCAGCTCCACCTGATAATTGTGTATTTCAGAAGTGAGCTTCCTTCACTTCAAAGCCGTTTAAAAAAAAATTGGCGGAAGCTGCTAGGTTGTCCAACATCCCGATTAGTTTTCGAGTGGTCAGCCTGCCAGCGTTCCTTAAATACACCCTTACCTCTGAGATGATTCGCTGCTGCTTCTCTATTTCGTTCTTGTGCTTCCCTATCTCGTCCCGCAATTCCTTCTCTTGTAGCTTGAAGTTCTTAGTCATGGCTTGCAGCTGTGCTTCTAGCAATCTGTTGGTGTCCTTGGCCGACTGATACGCCATCATCATCTCCCCCTCTTCATTGACCCAATCGTCTGTCATTGTACCCTGAAGACGCACACTTTCCGTCTCTCCCCTCTCCCTCTCCTCTCTCTCCTTGCGAGCCTTCTCAGCCTCCAAAGCTGCAATCTTCTGCTCTAGCTGCGAGTTCTAAATGACAGCGGAAAAAAACAATTAAGAGCAATTCTCAAAAGGCGATGAGTCAATTTTACAAAAAAGAATCAAACATAGCCAATAGGCGCTTGGAAAAGTGTCGATGAAACAAGGAAATAAAAAAAAATAGAACATTTTTTAACTTTCGAATTCAAATATATCTCGAAGAAAATTTTTCCTCTTTTTACGTGACATTTTCCGCGCCAGTTCTACTTTTTTAATTGGATAGCGTAATTTGCCTTTGGTTTTAGCAAACAATTTTGAATTAAATTTGAAAAAAAAATTGAAAAAACCGCAAAAAAATTAAATTTGATTTTTTTGCGCTTTAGATTTCTATTTCTTTACAAATTTAATTCAACATCGTTCGCTATAAATTTTTCCTTAATAAACATGACAAACCTCTTCGTTCTTTTGCTTCAGTTGCTCATTTACAGCGTTCATCAACCGTTCCACCTCGCCCTTCAACTCCGTGCCCTCTGTCTTGTCCGAAATGAGTTTACCAAAACTTACAACTTCTTCCTTAAGCCTCTCGTTTTCCTTTTCCAGATGGGATATTTTGGCTTTCGAGGTGTCCATTTCCTGAGAGGACTCCTTCGACAGTGACTCCATCCTTTCCTCTAACTGTGCTTTTTCCAATTCTAGTTCCTAAAATATGACAAAACACTTTTCTCATACATTCAGTTTTCACATCAGTTTTAACAAATACAGCAAGATGAAGAAATGGAGACTGATAAGTGCCTTGACATTAACTGCACTAGAACACTATGCCGTACTTTAAAATAGCAAAACTTACTTTTACTTTGTCCTTTAGATTCTTGTTTTCTAATTGGTTCGAGGCGGCCGATGACGAGGGTTGGGGCTGGAATGATGCCACCTGATGGGGACTCTTGAGAGTGTCCGTATCCTCAGTATCTCCTGCCTCCTCGCGGATCCCATCTAAACCCTTCGAGTTAGGTGTATCCTCCTCTGTTTCCTGAATTTAAAAAAATTATGACAAGCAGCAATAAATTTCCTTAACCTAAATAATTAGATTTAAGAAATAATAATAATAATTAAACTCAAAAATTTAATTTACTAAGATTATATTTTAAATCAAGAAGTATTTATAATCTTTATTTTCTAGGGTAGACTTTCAGTGGGTATTTATTTTGCTCTTCGTCTATCCTCTACTTGATCATTTTGGTTCTTTATAATGTTTGACGATGTTGTGTAAAAACTTCATTTGGGAGAAATAAATTCTTTCTTTCTTTCTTTCTTAAATAATAGAGTTTTCATAGCCATAAACGTCAACGAACTCAAGAAACCAAAAAAAAATTATTGTTGACTTTTTTGAAATTTTCTGAAAATGGAAGCCAATCCACGTTTTTTTTGTGCCATTTGCACCTTCTAAAACATAGCAACAGACAGTTACTACAAAAAGATTCAGTGAACGCAAACTGAAAAAAACCTGACTTGTTTTTTGAAAAAACTTTTGATATAGACTTAAAGCTCTTTGAAATTTATGAATAATGTATGATTGGCATTTTTTGATAAAACTAGGCTAATTTGTTAAAACTGGAGTTTTAGGTTAAGTTTTTATTCCGCTGGGAAATATAAAAATTACATTCGAATCAACAAATCGATCACGTTTTTTTTGCGCCATTTCCTCTTTCGCAATTGGAGAGCAATTTTAGCCCACCTTTTAGCAAATGACCTTGAATTGAACTCAAAAAGTGCACATCTTTCTAAGTGCATTCATAAATGCATCAAATATCAGTGCATTTTAGGACTGTTCCCTGAAGAAGAAACAAAAAATCATCACGATCTATATACGAGTCTGAGCTACGTTCGTCGAATCTTAAAAAACCCACTACCCCAATTATAATGGTCATCACTTAGTTCATTGACCCTTCAAAACTCCTGTGCTATGAAGAAAACGATTTGATTTTAACAGCGAAAAAATTCACACATCCGATTCCTTTTCAAACAATGACTGATCACCACTCAATAGACTTTATCAAAAAGTACTGACCTTGTTTTGACTATCGGAAGATATGCCGGAATCATTAGCAACTTCGTCGTAGCCATTGGCATAAGGCCTTTTAGCACCACCCTGAAATTCACTCCCATTGAAAAAAAAATTATCTTCGGAAGGCGAATCAAGCATCGAACGTAATGATTACTTACTCTCTGTTGAAAGTATTTGAGCTCCTCTTGAAGGTTCTCGTACCTCTGCTCCAGACGTGTGAAATCATGCAACAATGTCTGGTACCTTCCTCTAGTAGTTGACAGCTCATTCTCCATTTCTTTGTTATGGTACGCTTCGTCCTGTACCGATTGAGCGTTATACTTGTTTTGCGTATCTGACACTACCTTTTCCAATTCACCCACTTTTATGGTCAATTCTTTGTTCGCCGCTTCCAACTCGGAAATTTTAGAGTCTTTCGATGTCAAAATTTCCTCGAACTTTGCTTTTTCCATGCTGTAGACATTTACACTTTCATTGAGCTTCAGATTCTCCGCCTCCAATACAGCCATTCTATCTGTAAGTCCCTTCGCACTATCGTCACTTTTCCTGAAAATTTCCAGTTTCGAATTCAACTGGTCGATAGAGAGCAACTGTAGTTTCATCTGCGCACTCATCTTCTCTTTATCATTACTCAATTCGCTGATTTTGTTCTGCAAGCTGAAGATCTTATTCTCCATTCCCTTATTCAGTTGTTTCAAGTGATCTACCGATTTGGCCTGGATCTTAAGTTCTTTGAACTCCTTCCTGGCAACTCTTCGTCGCCAGCAACATTGAGCCAGAATAATTGCACGCCTCCACTTCTCATAACTTTTAATGGCAGCCCATCTTTTGAAGTATTTCTGGATGACTATTGCTTTGCTATTTCGTAGCCTACTCCTGAACTCGTTTTTGGCCGCAATTACCCTCGCAAAGCATTGCAGCTTGACAATTGCACTGTAAGTATGCAAGTACTTCTTGCGCTGAACAAACTTTCGGACTGATTTCTGAATTTTAATGGCTGCTCTTTCGCGACGCATATGGTATACACGTCTGCGTGCCATGAAACCGCGAGCCACCTTTTGAATTTTGACAATCGACCGCTTCTTTAGCAGAAACTGTTTCCTAGCCACAAAACATCTCAAAGTTTTCTGTAGTAGAACACATGCCGCTTTCAACTTATCCAGTCTGATTTTCTCCAAATAAGCAACTTGCCCGGCTCGGAAGAATATTTTCGTTTTTCCGAACTGAAACTTATCGGGGTCGTTGATATATTTTGTTAGCACGTATTCACAAGTTTTGGCAACGTCATCCCTGTTGATGTTCTGAGAATTCATCAAAACTCTGTACCTCTTAAAGAAGTCACTGTAACTCCATCTAGAAGGGAACCCGGCAGCACTGATTCGAATAGTCTCCAGGACTCCGCAAGCACGCAATTGCTGAACTGCTCTTTTGTTATCAAACGCGAAAGGTTCTTTCTTGTCGTTCGGTTTTATGCACCTTATGTAATGAGGGGTTGTTGAGTTTAGCGAGTCCATTAACTGTTTGAGAGATTCTTTGAACTGTCCTCCGACTGTTTTGCGTAAGTTTTTCGTATTGCGGGGTCCCATAGGGGATACTCTTGTCGCTTTCGTTTCTCGCTTTTGTCCGCCAGCTGATTCCGCGGAACGTTCTTCAAAAATCTCGGCAACTAATTGAAACTAAAATTAAACTTCCCTTAGACGCTCAAGCATAGTTGAGTGTTCCATACAATTTATGGAACGCTCAAAAAGGCTGAATATAATTCATTTTAAAAGTTTACCTGACTGGCCTTCAATAAGTTCACATGCTCCTCATAAACAGTGTCTTTGTTCTTTATAAGGAAACCCATCGATTCGTACTGAACTTTGTCAGCAAAATGGTTGATGATAAAAGCTTTCTGCGACATTCTTGGCTTGTCGAAATGAGACGATTTTTTCAGATGATTGTTGTACAGTTTCTGGCACCAAGAGATATCCGATCCTTTGGGCATTTTACACTCCTCGTCTAGGAGGTTAAGAAGCCCAATTTTGCCCTCAATCATCTCAATACAAGGCTGGTTGTCATAGAATTCAATGAAGCTCCAACTTATTTCTTCTTTCACGTATTCTTCCTGTTCCAGTTTGAATACATGCTAAAACACAAACATGCATTTAGCATGAAAATACAACTTTTCTCTTTGAGCTTCAATTAGATGAACGAAGAGTTGAATTACTTGCGTAAACTGCTGTTGTAGTTTTTCGTTAGCATAGTTAATGCAGAACTGCTCGAAGCTGTTTATTTGGAACGTTTCAAAGCTAAAATGCAGAAGGATTGCAAGCCCCCAATTACCATATGACAAAAAGCAACAACTATAGCCCTTGGTAGTGCTAGAAACCGAACACCCACCCGTAAATATCCAGAACTCCGATGAAGTTGGCTGCTTTGAAATTGGGAGCGAGTACTTTGTTGATCTGGTCCACGATCCAATTGAACAGGTTCGCATAAATGTGTCGACATAGGGCGTTTCTGCTTCCCATTCCCTGAACGCAATAAATTACTTCTCGTTTTACTTTTCTCTCATTGCAAATAATTGAATCAATTTGAACTGACATTGAGTTTAGCTAACAAAAAATTTGAATTCGAAACCCTTTTTAATATGAAACTGCGTAAATACTATTTGAGTTCATCGTCCTTCATTTTCTGTCAAACACTATACATAAGAACATAGCCAACAGACGGTTAGAAAAGAGTCAAGAACGCAAGGAAATAGAAACTTAATTATTGAAAAATAATCAATTTTCGAAGTAAAAAATATATGGCTTGCAGCTTTGTGACTTTCTAGAACTATTTATGATTCACACTTTTTCGGTAAAATCAGTCCAATTTGAGAAAACTGGATCAATTGTTTTTTTTCTGCTGGGAAATCTGGAATTAAATTTCACTTTCGAAACTGAAAGTCGATCACGTTTTTCGTGACCTTTAAACTTTTACTGTTCGATAGTGGAGTTTGCCTTACTTTCAACAAGGGAAATGAATAGAACCTCAAAAGAAATCAAAAGTAAAACCCGAATTTTAGCGTTAGCAAACCTTAAGGCTTTATCCTTTCAAAAAAAAATCACCAAGACCCATACCTATATAAAAGTATTCACAACGTTCATGACTCTTAAACACTAACAAACTGACGATGATGATGATTGTGCTGCTTAATGAAGTAAAAAGGACTGCATATTAACTAACATCTGATGCATTGAGTGGCTTCGTCATGATTTCGTTCATGGTCTGTATCTTGCGGTAACACAACCACATGGCCGTTTGTTCCAAGTCAATGCCCAACATATCACACGCCCTCTCCAGATGTTTGTTTGCATCTGATATCTTGCAGCCTTCATTTCCATCGTCCACAAAATGCAAGTTACCCATGTGAAGCACAGCCGACCAGATCTGGAACATCATGACTTGGGTCTGGTTGTTGATTCCCAACATTTGAAACGCTTCCCGGGTGTTCTCGAGCTCTTCTGCGTCGTTGACGTTGTTGATGACAGGACAGTTTCCCTGGTTGGTGAACACGAACTGATCACAAGGCCCCAGGTGCAATTCACAGAACTCGGGATTATCTGCCGAGGCACAGAGCTGATAGAAAATGTGATAGTTTCTCTCCTCGTTAGCCTGAAAATGTGCAAACTCATTAAGTTATTTGACACTTAGTTGATTTGAAAGCATAGCAGAATAGAAAGACCCCAAGAATAGAACTTTTAGCTTTGAGAATGAGATGCGTACTTCGTTTATCCTTGTCGGGACCTATCCCAAGCAAAAAATAAGATATTAACATGATAATTCCTCAAGTTCGGGGAAACTTCGCAATGATAGTTAAAGCTGAAGCATCAAGTCAGACACACTCGCACACAAATTTTCATATTGCAAATAAGATAATTCTTGTACCGCGTTATTGATACTTCATTGCATATGAAATTAAAAGCTATCTTAACGAACTTGGAAAGTGACTCTAGACTTCTCTAGCAGGTAGGTCTTCATGTGAGCTCCGGCTATTGTGTGTTTAGACGAGAAAAGGATCTCTATGTATTTCCCAAACCGACTGCTGTTGTCGTTCCTAGTAGTTTTCGCATTGCCTATTGCCTCCATGATGGGGTTGGATGCCAATACCCTCTGTTCTATGTGTGTCTCCCGGTCGGCCTCAGACCAGTCGGATGTCACTGATGCCAGGTACCGCATGACATACTTAGCCGACACTGTCTTACCCGCCCCACTCTCGCCCGATATGATGACTGATTGGTTCTTCTCCTAAACAGAAACCAGAATCCACTTAAAATTAACCCCAGCTACTTTTTAATTTTAAACTTATGTAGTTACAAGGTTTTCGAAAAATAGCGTAAAATATTCAATCTATGATATTTTTTGAAAACCATATAACTAAATTAGCTACCTTCCGACGGCATATCAGTTTTTTATTAATCTGTTCCGATTCAATGAGAAAGTTATCAAAAACCAATGAACAAACCTCGATGGCCAGATTTTTGTACGCCTCTTCGGCGACTGCGAACACATGAGGATCCATTGAAAAGAAGTCTTGGCCGCTATAAGCTTGCACGACGTCATTGCTGTACAGTGGAAGTGATTTGTAAGGGTTAATGGCAACCAACACGATTCCTGTCAAAACCATATAGATAACGTAAGGCAATGATTTACTGACTTAAACAGGAAAAATGTATGAAGAGAGGAGGCACTTTTAATCAGATATGATCTTCGCATGATGCATTATTGCACATAAAATGACAAAAAGAACAATAACTATTCACACATAGGCCAAGCGAAGCTTCGCAACTCTTGCGATACAACCAAAACAATGCATTACAAGATGTTGAATAGAAAAAAGTAATATATTTTTTGAAAACTTACGCTGAGAAAATTAGTTAAAAAATTGAAATTATATCTACAAAAATTATACACCATTGTCTTGAATGAGACTCATTGAGAATCAATGACACAGCGGCAAAAAAAACTTGGGTCGACCCTCGTTAAGCCGAAAATGAAACTGTCGTACAAAAAAGTTTCAAGCTATAAAATTTTCAAATCAAAATTTTCACGACCCATCTATCTTGAAACGGGTAGAAGTATTTTTAAAAATTAGCCCGTGAAACTACGCAACATAAAATGACAAAGCCGATATCTTATAAGCCGAACCCGTTTAACCGAAAATGAAAGAAATAAAATTATACAAAATCAGAGTTGCGAAATATACAAACTGAAGAACAATTTTCGATTATTGTTTTAGCGGCCCATCTAAAGCTGGAGGTACCTGTTTAACTCCATTTTGAATTTGTTAAAAAGATTCAAGATGAACTGGGTAATTTCGAAAACTGGGCTTCACCCAAAGCCTTAGTTGTTTCTCTACTCAGACCATAAAGAATTTTTTCGAGGAATTGGAATTTTCCCAAGAACAAAGTTTTATTTAGGGCGTAGCCGCTTATCGAACGATTAAACTATTGAAATCAGATTCAGCTGGGTTGTTTTTAAGAGAAGTCAAAATGTTTCAAAAAGCGGTCAAAAACTCAAAAGATAACCTACAAAAATATGGGTCAATATCTCCCCCACAGACTTTTACGAAGGGTGTAGAATGTGAGGTACGGTACAAAAGAGACTAGGCGTATGAGCAGGCACAGAGGAGAAGAGGCGGTCTTCCAATATTATCACTTTTTGCAAATAGAAAAATTAGTTTTTGAGAAAAACTAAAAATTTTGAATAAAGTGAAAAAAATTTCCAAAGTCTTTTAACAAAACAATAATTAAAAAAAAAACAAATCCCCTGCATTTTAATAATGCATAATTTTCAAAGGAAACTTAGCATGTCTCAGCTGCAGCAGAAATTGAGCAGCAAAATTTGCAAGAAAATTTGTTCACGGGAAAAACAAATTTGTTCCCGATTACAAGTCACTTGCTCTAGCAAGTGAAAACTTAAATCCCTGAACCCATTGGCTTGGGAAGTTTGCCACTTAGTTGAATCAAGCAAAAAAAGTATCGAAATCAATGAAAATATAAAAGCTCGTAGAGGCGAAGCGAAGCTTCGTACCACTTGCGATAAGAAAATATGTGCAAATGCTCTATATAAAATTGACATGTTTAATTTTTTCTAATTTTACAACGGAGCTTTTAAAAGGGTGATATAGATTTTTGAAAAATGTCCTGTTAGAGATCAATCGTTACACAGAAGTGAACTTGCACTTCGCATACACAAGCAAAATATGACCGATAACGCTACTGGAAAAAACTAAAAAGCAAAACTTTGAGTCTACAAAATTTCTTAAGTGACGCACGCCAATTATGAGTCTACATAATTGCTAAGTGACGCAAGCCAATTATGACGCATTAGCAGTCACATTGAAAAAAGAAATTTACCAACTAGCATGCCTCAATTTATAGAGCGGACGCATTTTAAACAGTATACAAAAAAGTTCATTAAAAACATCCGACCCAGCACAGGTTCGAACCCTCTTATTTTGTTGCGCATTTCCTTCCCTACTTTTACGCTACAGATCCATGATTATTTGAAGCTAAAGTGCTATTTGTAATATAATAACCTGTGTTAATACCCTTAGCATTAGCTGTACTTAATAGCTGATATTTGATCAAAATGAACACTTTCAAAACAAACACATTTTGTCGCAACAATATTTGCGACTTAGGTTGGAGAAAAGATAGTTCCTACTATAAAAAAGTTTTGCTTGTAAAACAAACAACATAACTTACAGATTAAAAACACTCGGAAATTAAACGCACAGAATTAAAGCCGAACAACCTCAGTGCCAAAAATTTTCGAATCTGATAAAGTATTGATAGGCAACTCATACCGTAAACACAAGGCCAATACAGTAACCAAGCTATTGATTAACCATGCGGATAAACTAGTGGGTATGAAATATACTGATTACCATTTGACCAGTCTGTGAACTAAGTTATTTACGGAACGAGCCAAGTACCCGATTGTAACACCCTTGCTTATCGCAAAGGAAATAATTCAATGAAGCAAATTCAATTTCTTACAGAAAACAAATCTGCTCTTTCGTATATTAAATGAAAATTTCATTTGTACCAAATATGAACCACCTGGTCTAATCGGAATTTTTACACAGAATTGAAGCTTCGCGTCGTAAACACTTGTGAGTAGACGACAAGAAGCAGCTCTATAAAGTGCAATAATAAAAATTAGAAATCAGCCTCGATTTAGCAAAAATTCGTGTAATTCTGAGATTCGAACCTGCGACCACAATATTAAGAGGCCTAGACACTACCCACTCAGTCACGGAAGCTTAGTAGACAACACAAACAGAGCAGAGAACAGATCCTATGCAATTTCCAATACTACAGTGAAATTTCCAAATAAGCGAACACTTTTAATCAACACTTTTATTTGCGTTAAGTTACGAGTTAGGTTAGAGAAAAAGAAGGCTCGTAATAACACACTAAGCTGGTCGGAAGTGTAAAGGACCTGAGCAAGTCAGCACTTGCATATAACAGCAATTTCACAGCGCCGAATATTTAATATCTATTCACAACGCAAAAGGATTATTTTGAATACAATTCTGAAAAATACAAAATGAAAATTGATTGTTTTAAATACAGTTCTTAGAATTACAAAACGTAAAATTTACCAAATCGAGGCGCTCAAGCAAATTTATCGCAGAGGAGCCCGGAATTTGAACGAATACTGGACTGGACTGTGATGTCGGAAACTTGTTTTTAATTTGGAAGAAAACATTTTCGGCACAGAGAATAGCTTTTCAATTTTCGGCGCTGTGAATAGGTTGTGCCAGTCGGTCATATTCGGAAGTTTGACCTTGAGAGAAGCAAAAAACACTTGATTTTGGAGTGAAATTTAATTTTTCAAAATTTCGAATGGAACCTGTCATGCACGATTTTCTCGCGATAACTGAAAATCAGAAAAGAGAAGTCAGAACGATCGAGTGACAATCGCGGGAAAGTTGCTAGAAAAATCAGTGGGAAATTGCTATTCGCAATTTCAGTAGCAATAATAATCGAGAGTAGAGCTGTCCCATCTGAAACAGAGACGAGCGCATTCCCACGAACTGGATTGTTGTGATTGGAGTACTATTATTAACTGGACCAGAGTGAACCTTCGGTGGAAAGGTGGACAGCTAGAGTGTCCCAATGGTTCACGAGAACTTACAGTCTAGAGTAAAAACTTGTTCTTGTTATTGAAACTGACTAACATTAAACTCATTTTAGTTACTTTATTGATTCTTGAGTTGCTTACCGACTTATTTACTTCCTGGTTCTTGAGCGTGCTACAATGTGAGTACTAATTTAAATTTCTAGAGTGTGTTTTATGATTGTTATGTTGAGGTGAGGCGAGTTTTAGGTTGATCCATCTGAAATGGATCAAAGTTCCACTGTCTAATAAAAAGTAACTTAACGGATTGTTCCGACCCGGTTTTTAATGGCGTTCATGTATTTTGGGTATCTAGAGACCTAAGTATGGGGACGTTTCTAATTCTAGAGTGGGGGGATATTTTAGTAGTAGCCTTTAAGCTGTAACGGGTCGTAGTCTCATGTCACAAGCGAACCGAATTGGCTCCGACTGATTTGAGGTACAAAAACACAAGAGATAGTGTCCCTGACTCTTGAGCCAATGGTTATAGGGCCTATTTTTCTTAAGCCTCATGTGTGACTACAGTAGACGAATGTTACATAGTGTTTTTATGGCGCTCCTGGGTGTTTACGACATCAAGACTACGGAGTCGAACCCACTTGAGACAGCTTCGGGCTGAATGCCCATTCTAGAGTACCGGCGGTACGGTTCGACAGGAACGTGCAAACCTTCCGGTTGTACCGTGATAGCTTTTTAAGAAAACTCAAGAAAACTTCCTGGTACGCTCTCCGAACGAGGCTTAGCTAACCGAGTAAAGGGGGGCAACTAGGGGGACAAAAACACGAGCAAAAAGACAAAAAGCGAAACAAAAACCATAAAACGAAAAAAGACAGTGACTTTGACACCAGATTAGTTGGATCAAACCTTTATATTAATTAAATAGTATACCCATACTGTTTTACAAGTTCGATCGTTTCGATCAACCTAGCAATTTAACCCAGTAACCTCAATAAAGAGCCCGAGTGTGGGGCGTTGTCAAGGGTTTTTAGATAGCTTGGAACTTAGCTGGACAACAAGGAGACTTGACTGGAAGAGGTGACCAGCCGAGTGGGAAAGTGGTTCAGGAGCACTTGAGCTGAACCAATAGGAGACTGGACTGGAACAGGTGACCAGTCGAGTGGGAAAGCAGCCAAGAAGGATTTGGCAATTCTCGAGTTCTCAAGTTGGGCAGAACGGGTATCGTTAAAATCCACATTACATTATAGGAGATAAGTGTAAAATAGGATAAGTGACATCCCTCGGTTTTGAGGAACGTTTTTACTTGAGCAGGCCTGGAGACAGGTCTACGGTTTCCTCTTGAGAGGTTTAGCACCCGGCGCTTAAGGTAATTTTAGGCTTAAGAAGGGGGGCTAAAAAGGGGGGAGGTTAGAAGGGGGCTGGTTAAGTTAGAGGTTGGCGGTTGTAAATTGTAAAAAGGGGGAAATTAGAGTAACTAACCAGTCGACATCGTTGACTTAGTTACATTAGACATTAACACGCGTTGG